TCGACTGGTTGAGCTTCCGGCGGAGGCGACGATAGCTCCATGGGGCGGGAATAGCCAGCACCGTCCATGCCGAATGTGAATCGTACAGGTGTGAAGGCCGACTCGTGGTTCGGGTGTAACACCGAAGCTCTCGATGAGCCTATTGAGCTGAAGAAGGACGTCTCGCCGATGTAGCTCGCTTCGCTTGGTGGATCTTCTTCCTTGTCTCCCGTAGCATCGGCTTCGACCGGCTGTTCGATAGTAGTAGCAACGCCAAAGTAAGACGCAGCATCAGCGTCATGCTCTCCTGGAAACGGTGACGGCAATGGAAGGTTGGAGGCGTCTTGTGGCGCAAGCGTTGGACTTTCAGGCTCTCGACCGATCGGCGTCAACAAGCCTGCAGCGACCGATGGGAAGGCGGGAGGAGGCATAGCAATCGTAAGCTCGTTGTTGGCGTGGTTGTCAGCCCCAGCGGCGGGCACAGGTTCGGTTTCCACATGTGATTCTACGACTTCTGAGGAGCTTGCTTCATGAGTCGAAGTTATCTTATCCTTTCCTGTGACCGCCTCTATGTCAACCACTGGTTCTTGGACGCGCTCAAGTGGTCTGTCTTCTTGTTCTTCGACATCCGCCTCGGTGGTGCTAGTGCTGGTAGCATTAAGCTCATCACGCGTGTTGCCTTCTTCCTCGGTATTTACTTCAGTGTCAATCTCGGTATCGCCTCCAAAAGCATATTGTGCATCTGATGGTGGGTGTTCGTCGGGCCCAGTGTAGAGATCGTGGGAATCGGCGTCCTTTGGTGGCCCCGTAGAAGACTCGCCAACGACCTCTGCACCCTCGTCTGTTGGAGTATTCGGCTCCGTCTCCTCATCTTCCTGAACATATAAGGGTCTGGCTGGTCGTTGAGGCGAAACGGGGGTGCGTGGAAGCTGCCCTGCACGGCTAGGCGACGCTTCAACAGAATTGAGCTCTTCTTCCATATCCACGTCCTCTTTCTCCGGCGACGGTGTCCTCGCGCTGTACGTCCACGCCTTCCAGTCCCCGTATGACTTCCTGGGTCGCTTTCGGTCATGGCCGTCTTCCGTCTCGTCCGCCAAGGGATCGTAGGGTGCTGGGAAGGAGGGACCGTCGGATAAGCGCGCCCGCTTGAAGAAAGCAGGGGAGGAGAATTCGCGCGCAGGTATCGGGGCTGCTGGGCGGAGAGGCGATCCGATCGCAGGCGTAGGCGCGGCATCGACGAGTTCGAGATTTGCTGTTTCGCTGCCATTTCGATAGACCCGGATCACTACTGTCTGTGTGTATGATAGCTCCCACTCAATGCTCTTGCCTGGTGTGCTGACGGCGCCTTCCTTGACAAAGTCGGCGCCTCGTAGGCTCAGAACCACTTCATCGCCAATGCCCACGCCTGCTGTCGCAATGGCCTTCGCGCTGGCGCCAGAGAAGCGCGCTCTGACTTGTCCGTTCTTGCGCCGTAGCCGGAGGTCGGGCTCAGCGAGCAGCAGGGCAAATTGTCGCGTCGACGACGAGTAGGGCCATATTAACGTGACGGTCGCTCGGAACTGTTTCGATTCGATCGCGGCCAGCTCTGGACTGAGCTCTGCGATATGTGTGTAATCCATGATGCGCGGCGAGAGCGCAGATGTTTGTTATGAATGCGACATGGTGAGAAGGGCGATTTGTCTAGGTGGGAAAGTGGGTATTGCGCCCGTGGGTGGTGTTGACGTGTGAGCAGCGCACCTTCCGCGCAACATCCCTGCACGCTTCCATCCGCTTGCGGCCACCTCGGTTGTTCCTGCATCCCAGCTTCCATCAAGCACGTTTGATGTTGTCACTTTTGCTATCAACGCAGCGCTTTCGGCTTATTCGGTGTCCTGTTCATTGTGACAAATAAAAGTCGTCACTAGGATATCCATAAAACTGGCAGTATAGGTGTGTGTGTTGTACAGGAGCGCGCTATGTTCAGAGGTACAGGCCTAATTCTACGGCAGATCCAAGACATCCTTCAAGACCTTCAACGCCCCAAACAAATCATTGTCGTGATACCTTCTTGCATTCACTTGCAAGTTGATCGGCGCTCCTTCGAAGTCTGAGCTCTCCCACAGCTCTTTGGTGTGCCTGCACTCGTCGCTCAATGGCTTGTACCCTGCGGCATATTCTTCCTTGCTCTCTGCTTTGATCGGTGTAGGTACAACCACCCCAGGGTAGTCAATAAAGTTATACAGACTCGTATATGTCCAATAAAAGGCAGTGTCATGCGCAGAGGCCGGGCCGACAAACGCAGGCCCAATGACGATGTCGACTTCTTGTTCATTCCAGCTGTCGGCAAATTCATACCGGTATTTGTCGCGGGTAGCACGAAGCTCGTTAACCTCTTCAGCATGGAGCATACCGAGAGGCTCGACATCTTTCCAATTCCAGTCGCTCAGGGGTAGCACTGGCTCGCCTGTCGACATGACATCTTCCTTTGCTAGTTTGCCACCGCCTGGCCAGTACATGCGGCGGATCAGCTTCCAAGCTTCTTGTGCCTTGTAAGGCGTGAAAGGCTTCACCTGAATGACCTCCGAGTACTGAGCATCCGAGAGACGCTTACGAGCCCATGCTACAGCGCGCTTGACTGGTGGCTGAGGGTCAATGAACCCGTCGTTCTCGATTATACCAACCCTCAAAGGCTTCTTGCTTTTGGTATTGAAGCCTGTCCAAGGAAGCGGAACCACCTTGGGATCCAGCAAGTACGGTTTCTGGTCCAGAACGGTTGTCATGAAAAGATCCATGTCGCGTAAGCTCCGACAGAATGGACCAGTGCTACACAGGACGTTGAGCTCTGCCGAGAATGAATGCGCGAGGAAGTCCTTCATCGGTAGCATGTATGAAGTTGACTTGTATCCATAGACACCGCAAAATGCGGCAGGGCCTCTTATACTGCCGCCGATATCTGTGCCTACGCCAAGTACTGATCCCTTCATGGCCACTAGGGCAGCTTCGCCACCAGATGAGCCACCAGCACTAAGGTTGATGTTGAAAGGGTTCAGCGTGCGGCCATAGTGAGATGTCGACTCCAAGTGCATGATCGTTTGAGGCTGATTGGTCTTGCAGTAGAATATCGCACCCATACTTCTCAACATCGACACCAGTAGGCAATCCTCCTCATTGAAGACAACGCTCGCTAACGATCCTTGTGATGAATAGGTTCCAGCGATGGGCATGTGCTCTTTGATGCTGATGGGAACACCGTGGAGCGGGCCAATCGTCTTGCCGTTCTTTAACATGTAATCGTCCAGCTCTTGTGCCCTTTTGACAGCCTCGTCCATGAACCATTGGGTCAAACAGCATGTCAATTGGTGTGCAATGATAGCGCGTTTCGAAAATGCGGTAGCTACTTCGACCGCTGATAGCTTGCGTGCAGCGATGGCTTCAGCAAGGCCTACGGCATCGTACTTTTCCGTGATGTCGATCTCAGCGGATGTGAGTATACCACAGGTGACTGGTATTCCCGAGACATCTCTCGGTGGACTGGCAAATAGTTCTGGCGACAAGCGTAGTTCCGGAGGCACCTTTTGCGCGAATGCTTCAAGGATTGAGGCTCGCTTCTTCTCGTAATCTGCTGTACCTTGAGGCACAGGCTTGGGCTGAACTATAGCGAGCTCAGAAGGGTGAGTTGTCATTCTGGTTCAGTTGAGACGATTGAAAGATGTGAGTAGTCTGTGTGCTCAAGCGGTGTCAATCGTGTGAACCAGCATCGCGGTCTTATCTCCACCTGTATCGTCATTGTCGAGGCTAGACCCAAGACAAGATACCTACCCTGGCATTCGTGGCGTTGAGAGACATCCCGTATGTAAACGTGGTCACCGGAAAAGTTCCGTGCTGGTATATGACGGCCGATTATCGTATGGCGATAAAGCCGATAAGGCGCGTGGTTGGTGTTGAGGAGCGGAATAGATACCGACAAACGGCCCTTAGCGCGTCATCCCACATTGTCCCGCATCAGCTAGCGAGCAACTCCTTTCCATATCCAGCTCCAACAACTCCAACTTTCCGGTTATCTTCCAATAAACGCAGCGCCTCTACTGCCTATCAGGCGAACGTTTCCCCGCTTTGTGTCTGGTATCTCGACTCTTGGTCTCTTCGCATGGACCTGCTAAGTTGCGTAAGCCGGTAGATACACACGGAGATGGGCAGCCCAGGAAAGACATCTGGGTGGCTATCTCCATGGCCTGCTATCATATACCCTGAGGGCAAGGATTTGGAGACGAGGGAATGTGATAACGAACATGCAGGCTCCACGACGAGCTCCAAACTGGAATGACGCAGTTACCGTGTTCTTGGGGTTCCACCTGCATACCACCCCACTCTTGTTGTCTACTTTTGGTATAACCAGTTCCAGAAGCTCAGCATTCAAGATATAACTGCATCAGCAGCTGAAGCCTGCAGCTACCTAGTTGGCAGTCGACTATCACTATGACCGTTGGCGCACACTCCGCCGACACGGCTCCCGTGCCGGGTACTGTGCATCTGGTGGATTTGGATCATAGCATTCAAGCTCGACATGCAGGCAATGGAGACATTATCCTCAACCCAGCGCCATCGAGTGATCCTGATGATCCGCTTAATTGGTCTCCGCGCCGTAAGCTCACCTCGACGATATGTACCAACCTGTACGTGCAACTATCGCGCACCACATATGAGACTAACGAGCCGTGAAGATACACCTGGATGACGGGTATCGCCGTGTCGACAGTGTACTCCGTCTTGGTACCACTATCGGAAGCCTCGGGAGTATCCGTGTCAACGCTGAATGAGGGCACTGGATATATGTTTCTGTTCCTCGGTTGGGGTCTTCTCTTTTGGCAACCTTTCGCACTGCGATACGGCAAACGTCTTACTTTCCTCATATCGGTTGTTGGTGCCATTGGATGCAGTATTTGGAGGTGAGTACGGATGCTTTTACAGTGACATACTCTCGTACTGACCTTCGAAGTGCGTACGTCAAAAGCAATGGCGAGTGGATAGCTCGATGTATCGTCATGGGCTTCTTTGTCGCACCAGTGGAAGCTCTACCCGAAATCTCCGTAACCGATGTTTACTTCACCCATCAGCGTGGGAAATACATGGGGTTTTACGCGTTCTCGTTGGCCGGTAGCAACTATTTTGCTCCCATCATCTCCGGCTTCATTGCGGAAGGGCAAGGGTGGCAGTGGGTCTTTTACTGGCCGGCAATCTTCTTGACCGTCTCGCTGATCTTCATGTTCCTATTCATGGAGGAGACCAACTATACAAGAAAGATTGAGGGAGTCGCCGTCACAGCTGAGTCTCCGCAGAGAGACCCGTCCAAGGTCGTGGATCAAGAGAAGGCCGACACGACGACTTCGCAGTCCACTGCGAGCGATGATATGCGAGTATCGACAAAGACTTTTACGCAAAAGCTATCAATCTGGCAACCGTCCCCGGGATCCAACGTCTTCGAGCGCGCAAAACGTAGTCTCATGTACCTGAGCTGGCCCGTCATCTTTTACGCAGGGTTCAGCTACGGTTCTTACCTCATTTGGTTCAATGTCTTGAACGCCACTGCTTCAATCATCCTCGGCGGCCCAGGGTACAACTTCAAGCCTTCCATGGTCGGTCTCAGCTACGTCTCTTGCTGCATTGGAGTCGTTGCCGGAGCACTGTTCTCAGGACGATTCAGCGACTGGTTGACCATCAAACTAGCGCGCCGAAACAACGGCGTCATGGAGGCTGAGCATCGATTATGGCCATTTGCAGTATGTTTGGTGATGGTCCCGGCATTCTTGATACTCTGGGGTGTTGGTGCTGCCCATGGCGTACACTGGTTTGGACTCGTCTTTGCAATGGGTTGTGTCGCTTTTACTTCATCAGTTGGCGTCACCATCAGCGTAAACTACATGATCGACAGCTACCACGACATAAGTGGCGATGCGATCGTGACGGTTATCTTGATTCGCAACACCATGTCGTTTGCAATCAGCTACGGGTGAGTTTTTTAAAGCTTTTACAGAATGACTTGCTAACGAAACGTAGCATTACGCCGTGGCTGACAGACTTGGGCTACCAGAACTGTTTCATATCTGCAGCCTTCGTTGGAATGGCTGCATCAGCAGTATTTCTCGTAATGATTAAGTACGGCAAGGGCATGCGCGTTAAAAGCAGTAGGAAGTACTACAGTATCGTGGATGCTGATAAGGCGATGAACTAGAGCAGTGCATATAGAACTCGATGCACAATTATATGCGTGGATATCATGCTTGTTTATCACCAATAGTACATTAGGACACGATTTCGGCTCCCTGATCCAGTTCATCACATCGTAACATTCGTTCAAGATACATAGTAAACTACAACACGAGCACCGCGAAAAGAGCTACACCGCTAAGCAAACCAGCCGTTCCATACGGTACGCTAATCTCGCCAGCTGCACCAGTGAAGGCCTGTGGTGTTCCCGTAGGCGTAGCAACAGCGCCCGACGCTACTGTTGCTGATCCAGTTCCACTAGCCGTTGCACTTATCCTTCCATCAACACGGAAGAAGTTTGCCGCGAGCGGCGCACTCACACCGTTCTGCGACATGAACGATTGGATGTCAAAGCCTATCCTGTCTTGTACGCCAGCGAATGCTGATGCCTGGATGTTCAGACTGGCAGGCTGCGGAAAGAGCAGTTCGACGTATCGATGCGCGACTGTGTCGGTTGCTGGAGGGCCTGGAGGGATGTATGGGGCGGGGCCCTTTTCCGATGATGCGAGCAGAGTGGCCGCACCCATGAGTTGTTGTTTTGTTGCTTTGAATCCGGTGTTCATGCAGTGTAATAGTGTACGGCGTTCTGTGCCGCCGTCCGCTGGTGGTACATCGAGGTCGAGCATCACAAACATGTACGTTTGGCTTGCATCTATCATGGCGCTGGATAATGCAAGTTGTGGTTGTGTCGCGGCAGCTAGACAGGTTAGGATTGCATTCTGATTTGAGATATCTGGAGACTTACAGGCTTTTGCTAATTGCTGCCCGGCTGAGTTGACCATGGTCGAATTGAAGATGACTTCAAGCTTGGTGGTAGCCTGAGGCGTAAAACCTGAGGGTACTTGCGCCTGCGCAAGACCCACTAATCCAGCAACCAATACTGAAGGTATGAAATGCATCATAAGAAAATTCGTTTATAAACAATTGCGTGGAGAAGTTTGTACACAGGATGGAATAAAAGTGGTTTTTTGGAGGCGGCCCGAAATGAGGCTACCAGCCTACATATACCGTCATTATCGAAGTACGCGGCCCCAAGGAATATTCGCTGAAGCCGTGGCATAGTCTGTCGCAGTGCATCTAGCGCCGATAGTTGGTGACGTGCTTACGTAGAGTGTTCCATATGACTATGAAACCGCATCTGCGTGAAGACCTGGCTGTCACATCTTGGCAATCGTCACGCCCACAATGCCTAAAGCAAATCCAGGATCATACCTTTCGACAATTCGCTCATGTGTCGCAAGAAGCCGTAGGAGGCATTGATAATGCTGAAGAAATGTCTGCTGTGTGGTCAGTCCTTCGTCATCCAACTACGTGACAGCGTCCAGGCAATATCTCGCTGCCTGGGTCTCCGAAGCGCCCCCGAAACGGAGCGCCTACTTGTGAAAAGATGATGCACAGATATCTGGGGTCGAAATCGAGACTGCAGGTCGTGAGAGCCGTTTGAAGTAGCGGATTTCGCAACGGCTCACGGTCTGCATCCCCGCCGTAATGACGCAGTGGGGAACGTCCGCAGACCTGTCAGGGTTTCGCCAAGGTGTCAACCTCCGAAACTGGAGCAAAGAGACGAGTCGAGGTGTCTTTCAAATTCCGACAACTGTTCCAGACGAAAGTCTGACGTAGCAGATGGGACGAACCGGGAGTAGCCATGGACTGCTGGGCAAGAGCGTCTGGCAAAACACGCTAGGGGCGCCACACGTGAGCGCGCGCTGAAGACAGTCTGTGCTTCTCTTAGCGCCGATCGCCACGTTGCGTGCATGTCGCGCGATCAGGGATACCTCCTAGGCATCTCCTATGCCATCCATCATTATTCGCCGACGACTTGGGCCTGGACGATATCTTCATTGGAAGGGCATAACATCAATGGCAAGTTCCAGCCACGCCGTCGTGGCTTCAAAAGACCCCGCCAAACCACCGAAACCACATTGGCCACTCGCGTACTGCATACAACCACAGAAGCCCAAAGCCTCGTCACTCCAGTCCTATGGTTTCTCATCTACTCAAGCCGCACCAAAACAATGGTGGAGTCATCGGCTCTATCGAGGCCCCGAAGACAAGGAGGTCGAAGTTCTGTATAGCAAGAATAAGGCGCAATCCGAGATATATGCAAAGCAATTCCTTGAGGAACCTGTCATTGGTTTTGACATGGAGTGGCCATGGAATGATTGGAAAAGAGACGATTTGCAGAACAAGATTGGACTGATCCAACTCGCTTCTGAAGACAAGATCGCGTTGTTTCACATCGGACTGCACCCAGGGAAGACAAGCGAAGACATAATCGCGCCGACATTGAAACGCATTCTTGAGGATCCCAAGATTGGCAAAGTAGGTGTCAATGTGCTGAAGGCGGACTTTTCGAGATTGAGTCGCTTCTTCGGGCTCAAGCCCAAAGGTGCCGTCGAATCCAGCCATCTCTACCGCCTCGTAAAGTTCGGCCCTGCAAAGCCGGAGTTGGTGTCGGTCAAGCTGGTGAGTTTGGCACATCAGGTGGAGGAGCAGCTCGGTCTGCCCCTTTACAAGGGTGACGTGAGGACAAGCAACTGGAGCAAGCCCCTGTCGAAAGATCAGATCAACTACGCGGCTGGAGATGCGTACGCGGGCTTCATGCTTTACAAATGTATGAATGCGAAGAGACTTGCCATGAGACCTACCCCACCATTACCGATTCACGCTGAGAAGTACCTGAGCGGCAAGGCATCGAGAGATGATCCGATACTGTTGGACGTCGGAGACGGTACGACCATCACCACAGAAGCCTTCTTTGGTGTCAAACCTGCGAAGAGTGGAACAACAAGAACAAGCTCTAAAGTACCGAAGAAAACAGCACCTGCGAAGACCAGTGCGTCAACATTGGATCATATTTCACAAGCATTATTCGAAGAATTAGCTGTTCGGCGAGCATCCCTTGCAGAGACTGGAAAGATACAGCCATCTCGCGTCATATCCGACACTCTACTAGAAGCCATTGCGCGCGCACAGCCTTGCGATACTGAGAGTCTGCTTGCTGTGAAAGGTATTGGAAAGATCCAACAAACAAAGTACGGCAATGAGTGGCTGGAAGTTATCTCACTTTTCCTTGCCACGAACGGCATCGAGCAATCAGCTGGGACTGTGAAGCCATCCGAACCAGAAATCCAGTTGCCGCATACACCCCGCCGCCCAAAGGTGCAACGCAAGGTTGCAGATGATAGCTCCGGAGACTCCTCTCCTGCTTTCGAAACCGCGCCTCCCCGGACACCTCAACTACACACTGGCCTATCTTTTACCATGGCAGAGACAAAACTTGGCGTGAATCATGGCAACGAGTCGCACGGCAGTACATCCCCTTACGACTCTGACGACACCCTTCCATCACTCGACTTTGGCAGTCCCAGCCGTCGGCGAACAAGCGCCGGCACCAAGCGCAAACGCGCTGAGAGTCCAGTGAAGACCGACGCAGAAAAGGCCACTCAGCCTGAGAGAAAACCGTTACAAAATTCGACAATAACCACACCTCGCATCACACTAGCTGGTAAAGTATCGGAAGAACGACCACTAGACACAACGACACCTTCTAAATCGAAAGCAATGTTCACGCAGCAACCATCCCTGAGCCACGCCCTCGGCGTCGCCAGCAAAGGCCCTGCCTCAGCCTCAGCGCCAACTCCAACACAAATTTCACCACTATCACCCGGATCGCGCATCGCTCGGTCGAAGCTTCTGGCCTTCAGTAAACTGGTAACGCGGAAATTGCCCGCTCGATCCGCAACGGCTCCACCCATCATAACAGACCATACATTAGATTTGATCATTAGAGCAAGACCGCAGACGCAAGATGAGCTGGAAAGCATTCCGGGGATAGACAGCTTGCTGTTAGCTTGTGAGAAGACAGGCACAGATTTACTGAGGAACGTAGTCAAGTTTGCGCCATCGCAGTCATGATGCAAGTGGGTTGAGAATTATGTTATGAACTTATGACTTGAGGAAGCTATGCGATAATGGGAGTTCTTTGATTCAACATCTACTTCGTTAAGGGCTGTAATGTCTATGATATTGACACTGTAAAATAGGCCTATGCGCTGATGCATTTAAGCCCACATAGCCTTGAACTTGGTGTCAAAGTCTTCTTTCAGAGCTTTGAACGCCTTCAGCACATTCAACAAGCCCTCGCCTTCCTCCCAAGCGGGCGGCTCCTTCTTCTCATCATCGTCCTCGGCATCCCAGCTCTCCTCGACTTCCGATTCGCTGGAAGAGCTACCCATCTCATCCTCCCATGATTCTTCGACCTTCTTCTTGGCCTTCTTCTTGGGTTGGAACGCCAGTTCCTGCTTGGGTGGGACTTTACTCGTAGAAGCAGTGGTGGCTGAACTGGCCTCTGTCGCAGTGTCGGTCGGCAGCATTTTGTCTTCCCGGTTCTCTTCCTCGTCGTCACCACCACCTCGGACGTCGATGAAGTCGAGATCGGACTCTGTTGCAAGACCCAAGAAGTTCGACAAACTTGTAGTAATCGTGGCGAGCGTCATACTGAGGTCGTTCAGTACGAACCATACATCTCCACGACGAATCTTGTTGGCCGTGATCAGAGCGTTGACGTCACCGTGCATGAAGAAGTCATAAAGGTAAGCGTTCAGCGGAAGATCGGAATCTTCAGGGTAGAGGCCAACGTGAGGTACGACAGCCTCTTCAAGGAAGACGCCAGAACGGCTAGTGCTGCACAGATCGTGAATGGACTCGAACTTGTCATCGTATCCCGAAAGAGCAACAAAAGTGGAGCGAGCCTTCAGGTTCTGGCTCTCTGACTTCGGAGAGGCTTCGGCACCGACGGTGACGTCTGTCAATGGGAGTGTGTTGTCCGGCTCCTGAACATGTTGGTCGACGAAACTGCGCACGTAGGCTGTGAAAATGTCGAGCGTAGTCTTGTTGTGGCGACGCAACACATTCGCAGCATGCTCTGGCATTGAAGGCAGGAACACAAGCGATGGGCTCTTCTTCACGATCTCTCGTACGTATTCTTCGTCCGCCTGTCGACAGTGACGTCGGCCAAACAGATGCGACATAGTGAGCATGAGTTCGCGTAATACCACTTCTTTGTTTGTGTCGATCTTGGCGCAAAGCTCGTGGAAGTATCCATCCTTCAGCAGAGCGTGGAAGGCAAAGGATGAATTCTCGGTGAAGTACAGATGCGATACAGCACCTGCAAAGTTCAAAGGTACACCTTGCGCATCCAGAAGATGCTGTCTCCGCAGGTACTCAATTGAGAAACGCAGATGATGGAGGACTGTCATCTTCGCATCCTCGCCACCAAGGTAGAGTCGTGGCTGTGAGAGCAGGGAGTTGACGCATCGGACAGCGAACGGCGCATTCTCGGATGAGTTCAACAACGTGAACAAACGAAGTACCAGTGTTGTCGTGATGGGGAAATGTCCGTTGAGATCAGGTAACCGGGAGCTGATGAGTTTGTGGATCTTGCTGAGAGACACTCCGTGGAAAACGACATTTCCAAGCATATCGAAACCTCGACGACCTGCACGACCGGCAGCTTGACGGAAGTTGAGCGCCGTCAAAAAGACAGAGTCGCCTGAGAAGACGACAGTCTTACAGGGCATGTTGATACCGAGAGCAAGTGTACCTGTTGCGATCACAACGCGAAGGTAACCCTTTCGGAACAACATCTCAACGCAGTACCTGTACTTTCGGTTCATACCAGCGTGATGGACACCGATACCGCGCATGAGGCCGTCGATAAGCCATTCATCGACTCCACGATAACGTAGCTCCTTCGCGTGTACAGCAAATTCTTCTTGTGACAACTTCTTGTGATCCGCGAAGTGGAATCCATCGAGAGGCTTGTTCGGATCAAACGAAGCAAAGGTGCTGACCTCGACGTTGGCGGCTTCTTTCATCTGGTCCTGTTTAGTCATGCCCT